TAAACACTTCCATAAGAAAAGCTTGCCAATCATTCCTTTCCTTTTTTTATTTTTGCATAAGTTACATATGGGAATCTGATCAGCAGCTCTTATTTTGACACTGAGAAATCACAGTGTATTCGACCTGGAGCTTTCCAATAAACATTAATTATGTGTCCTGTGGCACAGGGCTCTGTTACTCAACAGATTAAAACTGTCTAACAAGATAGTGACATGAAAACCACATTGCAGCATTTGTTTTATTTTTTCACGGTGTCCTAGAACCTCATTTTGTATCATTTAGACATGGGATTATTTTCAAGTCCAGTATTGTTTACTAGGCAGGCAGCTTTGGTGTGCTGATGTGACTATTCCAGTGCGGTGTGTTTATATAAGAATCTTGAACGCTGGAAAAAAAAATAAACAGCAAGTGAGTGCACCAAGATTTTTGTTTCTCATTTGAAAGCCAAGTTGCAAATGGTTAAGAAGTAGTGTTTTTTTTTTTAAAAAAAAAAAAACCTGATCCTGTTTACTAACTGAGCAGATTTCCTGTATTGTAAATGTTAAACATATTTTTATATTGTTCTTAACATTTGTAGATACATTTCCAAAATCAAAAGAAATAAGAGTGCCTGAAACATTTCCCTGTCCCATTTTGCATTTTATGTCCCAAAGCCGCTCTTTTTTCTCTACTTTTTTAAAAAAGGGCCCCTCCCATGCCTTATTGCCAGATTGTCAGCCAATAAAATAGCACTGAAACATCATGTTTGCAAATATGATCGTCCATTGTTAATGTAATGTTTTGCTCCATTTATTTAATTTCCTTCATTTGCATGATACATTGAATCATAAGTTAATTACAAAGGGGTTCATATCACACACTCAGCTAAAGCATTTGGCTGATTTGTGGCTGCACTGGCACAGAAGTGGTCTTGAGTGATACTCCTTGACAATTACCTTTCTTGAGGTTTAGATACATTTGTGTAACATGCTAATCTGCGTTTAAATTAACTAACTAAATAAACGAACTTGGTTAAAAATCCTGAAATGGACTATAGCCAACTTCACAAGGCTAGGAAGAATGAACCAGCCTTACTTAGCATACTTATTTAAATCCTATCTTCTAATCCAGAGATGTCCAACCTAGGAAACTTGATTTGAAGACTTGTGGATTTCAACTCCACTTCAACATATCTGGCTGGGAAATTCTGGGAGCTGAAGTCCACAAGTCTTATAGTTGCCAAGGTTGGACACCCCCATTCCAGTCTATCACTTTTTGCAGGACCAGATCCTAAAGATGACTTCCCTCAAAAAAATCATCCAGGACAGGAAAAAGCTATTGGAAGCCTTAGTGGAGCATGGTTTCCTGTTCGGCAATTCAAAATAGTGACATATCAAGAATATGTATCATAATCAAAATAGTTCTCACTTTGTTTAAGCAGTGTTTCTCAACCTTGACCATTTTAAGCCATGTGGACTTCAACTCCCAGAATTCCACAGCCAGCATTGCTGGCTGTGGAATTCTGGGAGTTGAAGTCCACATGGCTTAAAATGGTCAAGGTTGAGAAACACTGGTTTAGTGGAATTTGTTCTCAGATAAGGAATTCATGGGATTGTAGCAAGACTATGGCTGGACCTTAGATTGCACTAAACCAGTATGTGGGTTGTTTGCTTTTAGCTTAGCAGTTTAATCACAATGTTTCATAAATTGTGCTTTATGGCTTAGCAACCTAGGTACCTGTAGTTAAGTCTTGTGTTAAGCCACTGTTTCCCAACCTTAAGCACTTTGACCTTCAACTCCCCACAATTCCCCAGCCAATCCTCAGAAGGGGGAATTTTGAGAGTTGAAGTCCACATTCATCAGTTTCCAAAGCTGGGAAACACTGTGTTAAGCCATTGTTTTAAACCATTTTTAAATAAGTCACAATGGCTTGCTGCCCTAAATCACATCCTAATATTAATTATTAATCATAATTCATTCAGTTTATAAGAGTCCCTAATCAAAAATGATTCCAGTGGCGCCATCATGCACAGAAGCAGAACACATTTAAGCTCAACAACGCCACATCTGTAAATCACAGGAGTCTCTGGGGAATTCAGTGGGATATAAAAACCATAAATAATAAACAAATCTGGCCAGCCAATTCCTTTCCTACAGTAATGATTCACCTCTACTACCCCAATAATCTTGTTTTTGAAGCTCATTCAGCAGTAAATAAAAGAAGGGGATATTTGAACCCCTATTTTTCATTCTGGATGAATACACTCAGCTACGGCTAATGAACTCCTGCTTTTGAATTCCAGATGAAAAACAGTTTCTTACATATACATAAGAAATCTGATTCTAAGAAATGTGTTGTCTTCAGAAACAGCATTTTGACAGTGCTTCTGGAAAGCCTTAAAAAATACAACCAAATCAAAGATAAGGCCATCTGACTTTGTGCTGTTGGACTATTCCCATTCAGGCTACAGTCCTATGTAGAAAAGAAAAAAAAAAACACTGGAAAAGTTTCTAATTATCCAAATTGCAGCTTTCCTGAAACGGCCTGGAATTTCAAAGGGTTTGCAGAATGGCTGTACAAATTCACAAAGCCACAGATTCCTGCCTTGGAGTCATGAATGGAATAGCTGCACTTTCCCGGGCTTTAAAATCAGAAACAACAATAATCTCTGCCTCCTTTTTAAAAAATCCATGAGAAGAATTTCTAAATATGAGAAAAGCTTCCAGTGGTTTTCTAAAGTCTAAAAATTTCAAGAGTTAAAACCAATGTTATAAACATATCCTTAAATGATTCATTGAGAAAATATTTGCATTGTGTTGAACTAGTTATTATATAACAAAAACTCCACTTACTATCACCAGAACCACCCAATTGTTTTAAGAATCTATAATTCCTTCAAGCAAATAAACTTAAAATGCTGGAAGATTAAAACAAGGCAGTCCATTACATCATGGAAGGCTGGAAAAACTCTGCTGAATTTAGTTTTATCTTAGAAGGATGCTACCAATTCTTTATGACACTCCACTGTGAAATTCATTGTAAGACTCAAGTGTAGTAAAAAAAAAAAAAGGAAATGGTTGCATTTAGCGGAGTTTGTATATTGTGAGCATCCTGTCTTCTGAGGATTGTGCTGAGAATACAGTAGCTTGGGCTTTATCTTTTGAGTACTGCAATAGAGATGCTATATTTTTTTCTCTACTCTATGGAGTAGAGAGTTGGTCTCTGACAGAAGGCCACCTGAAGAGACCAGAAGCATTTGAAATGTGGATTGACAGGCAGCTGTTACATATAAGCTGGGTTGACAAGATTAGAAATGAGGAGGTGACAAGCCGCCTGGGAAAGCCAAGGGAAATCATCAAAACAATTAAAAAAACAAAAATTAGAATATTTCATACATGTGATGCGACACCCAGAAAAATACGGCATACTCCATTTAATCCTCCAGGGAAAGACTGAAGACAAACAAGGTCCAGGCAGAAAAAGAACATCGTGACTTCAAAATCTAAGGGACTGGTTTGGACAAAACTCAGCAGCACTTTTTGGTGCGGCTGCTGATAAAAACAGGATCACCAACATGATCGCCAATGTCTGATAACGGATATGGCACAAGAAGAAGATCAATAAATAAGACTTTGCAATGTGCTATCAAGTAGCCTTGATTAAATAAACTATACCAGTATCAGGAGAAAAGATACAGACCACAAGATGGTGCTGCATCACCATTCTTTAACAGAGGGACTTTTTGCACCCTGAGTAAAAAAAACAAAGTTGCAGTTTTGTGTGACACCTTCAAGTTCGTGTTGGCTTCTGTGACTGCTTGCACAAGTCCTCTTCAGTTCTTTTGGCAAGAGTTTGGAAGTAGGTTTGCTATTGCCTCCTTCCTAGGACTGAGAAAGTGATTGGCCCAAGTCACCCAGGCTTTGTTGACACATCTAATGCCAAACTGAGTTCACACCCTGGATTCAGTCACACTTTGTTTCATGAGCACCTGAGTTCCCACAACCTAAATTAGAACAAACTCCATTATAGCTAACCAAATGTGCAGACCCAGTGTGTTTGTCCTGCTTTAGCACTTTTCTGGCATAACCTACGTTTTCCTTAGTTTACTTTCAATCTTTTACTATTAGTTATTGTTGCATTTACTTGCCCTATCTCACTGTGGTGTTATTCTAGGTCAGTGGTTCCCCAACCTTTTCTATACTCCACACCCCTAGAGCGCTTCCAATATATTCTCGAACCCCTTACAAAAGATAAAATGAATTATGCATATACACTATAATTTTGAAACTTCTAAACCCAGGTTTTTGCACCCCCTCGAATACCTTGCACCCCCCTGTTGGGAACCCGTTCTAGGCGGTTTATAACAATCAAAAGGAAGAAATGAACAGAGCATAAACAGAAGATAGCAGAGCAATAAAATAAACAATGCAAAAGAATACAGCGAGAAATACAATTAACGATTCCCAAAAAGGAAAGATGGACAGGCAGACAGGAGAGGAGAGGGGAGGGGGAGATGGAATTGCCATCAATCTGTTCCAATCCAGTTGTGGAACACCCAAGTCTTTTGCTCTGCAATGCAGCAAGGCATTATTACCTGTAACTTTTCCAGTTTGTCCGGCTTGCAATACATGCCATTTTGAGAGTTTACCCCTCATCCGTGTTGACAGTTTTCAGATGTGTGGTCTTCCAATTCCCCACACTGGCTGAGGAATTCTGGGATTTCAAATCCACACATCTGAAAACTGCCAAGTTTGAGTGATCCACATCAACTCTCAGTTTGGAAGGGGAAAACATAAAGTAAAATAAAATAAGGAAGCGGCCCAAGACTGGTGCATGTTCATACCAGCAAGATTAAAGCACGCGCTCGCCTTCAACCAGCAACCTCCAACCCCGCCTCTCTGGAACCGCAAGCCACGCCCAGCCGCGGATTCCCGCCCCTCCTCTCGCCTGCCCGAGAAGTTCACTCCAGCTCTCGCGAGAGCAGCGTCGGCGGAAACGGGCGCTCCGAGAGTCGTCGAAAGGGACTTTCCTATTCCGCTCGCAAGTGGGCGGAAGTAGAAGTCGTTCCTGAGCCGGCATGGCGCCGTCTTGGTACTGGGGTCTCCTCCTGTGTCAGCTGGCTGCCTGGGCGAGTGCGGCGCCCGTGGACCCAGAAAAGAACCATGGGAAGACGCTGGCGGAGAATAGTCCAGGTCAGTGGAGGCTCTTAAGGGGTTCCCCGTCCTGCCCGCAGACCTGGGCCCATCGCTTGGCTATGGCGGGTAGGAGGATGGAGGGCTAACGGAGGATGATCACCACTGCCCGCTCCAAAGGCTTCTCCTCGGCTTGCTCTTGGCGATCGACGCTTCAGACTTGGCCCTTTTATGACTTGTGGACTTCAACTCCCAGAATTCCTCAGCCAAGCACGCTGGCTGATGAATTCTGGGAGTTGAAGTCCACAAGACATAAAAGAGCCAAGTTTGAAGACCCCTGGATTATATAGACCAAGCTTTTTCAACCTCAGCTGCTTTAAGATGTGTGGACTACAAGTCCCAGAGTTCCCCAGACGGTATGCTTTGGGCTGCCTAGTTCCCCAGCGAGTATGACAGGCTCTGGATATCTCTTCTTGCAATCTCTGATGTCGCATGCTGGATAGTCCCTAAAGCTGGGGGATTCTGGGAATTGAATCCATACATTTTGAAACATTGAGAAACCCTGATATGGGCCGTTCTCACACTTCTGGATAGCTCTCTCTGTGACCCCTGAGCGCCTGACCTGGATAGCTCCCAGAGCTTACAAATTATATATAGTCTTCCAAGGAGGGATGAACTTAGAGGACTTCAACCCCACAGATCTGGCACCCAGGGTCTAAACCAGTGTTTCTCAACCTTGACAATTTTAAGGCATGTGGACTTCAACTCCCAGAATTCCACAGCCAGCTGGCTGTGGAATTCTGGGAGTTGAAGTCCACATGCCTTAAAATTGTCAAGGTTGAGAAACACTGGTCTAAACAGCCTTGATAATGGATAGTGTAAGGCAGGGGTCTTCAAACTTGGCCCTTTTACAGCTTGTGGACTTCAACTCCCAGAGTTCCTCAGCCAGGCATTCCTTGATTCATGACCACAATTGAGCCGAAAATTGATGCTGTTAAGTGAGACATTTGTTAAGTGAGTTTTGCTCCATTTTGCAAGCTTTTTTTGCCACAGTTGTTAAAAGCAAATCACTGCAATTAAGTTAGTAACACAGTTGTTAAGGGGATCTGGTTTCCCTGTTGACATTGCTTGTCCGAAGGTCTCAGAAGGGGACCTCATGATCCTTGGACACTGCAACCGTCATAAATATGAGTCAGTTACCAACTGTCTGAATTTTGATTGTGTAACCATGGGGATGCTGCAGTGAGGTGGTAAGTGTGGAAAATGATCATACATCACTTTTTTCATTGATCTTGTAACTTGTAACTATCACTAAATCAACTGTTGTAAGTTGAGGAATACCTGTAAAAAGAACAATAGAATTACACTGATGATATCCTTGAAATGACCTACCATATATTCCGGCATATAAGACGACTTTCGCAAGCGTTAAAATCAGCGCCGAAGTCGGGGGTCGTCTTATACGCCGGGTCGCCTTATACGCCGGCATATACGGTATCTGTTATATTTCACACTTGCTGTATGATATTGTCAATATGTACAATATGCAACAGTATTTACATTGCAATCTCCCATTGCACCATTCCATTCTTGCTTTGTAGATGAACCACTGTCTATTTATGTTAGCAGTCTCTGGTCCAAGGCCACATAGCTAAGTTACTGGTTACACAAATATTCTACCACTAAGCTACCTAAAGATTTGTATTTATTAATGGATGAATGCATTCAGCATGATTTTACAGTGTGCATTACTATATACTACTACACAGTACTGTTGCAGCATTCGGAATACTTTTTAACTTTAAATTTTCCACATTGTAGAGTTCTCCAGTCATCACACACAATTAACACACTCGACTCAAGGTGCTTCAGGCACAGCCATAAGTTCTGCAGACCCTAAATCACTTCAGATCACACAAAATAATCCGCCACAGGCACCTCAGCAAGATTCTGGTAAATCAAAGGGAACAGAAAATTCATCAATTAATTCCCACTCAGGTGGTGCTGAATCCACCAAAACTGAGAAAGACAAAGATAAGTCTAGAGAAGGTCAGACAGGCATATCTGATACATCATCTGTTCCAGAGCCAAAAACTAAGCAATCAAAGCAGGAAGAGGAGCTATCAATTAAAACCCCGAAGAAGTCTGAGGGTCCTGCTCAAGACTCTCGAAAAATAGATTCTGTTCAAACTAAAAATAGTCAGGAAAAGCCTGATGATTTGGAAGAATCTGAGACAGACGCTTCACATCCAGATTTAAACGCTAAGGAAGTAAAACCACCAAAAATCTTAGAACCAAAAGACCAGAATCTCCAGCCACGTCTGCCTGTTCAAAAACCTGCTTCTACAAAGGAAGATTCTTCTGAAGTCATCAATGCTCAGGAAGACACCTCTTTTCCAAAGCAAAAAACTAAGGACTCAAAGCAGGAAGACGACCTATCAATTAAAAACCCGAATGCCAAGTCTGACGATCCTGCTCAAGACTCTCAAAAAATAGATTCTGTTCAAACTAAAAATAGTCAGGAACAGCCCGGTCATTTGGAAAAATCTGAAACAGACGCTTCACATCTAGATTTAAACGCTAAGGAAGTAAAACCACCAAAAATCTTAGAACCAAAAGACCAGAATCTCCAGCCACGACTGCCTGTTCAAAACCCTGCTTCTACAAAGAAAGATTCTTCTGAAGTCACCAATGCTCAAGAAGACACCTCTTTTCTAAACTCAAAAACTAAGGAACCAAAGCAGGGAGATGACCTATCAATTAAAGTTGTGAACATCCAGTCTGATGCTCAAGACCCTTCTTCAAACTTAAATCCTGTTCCAGCCAAAAATAAAAAAACTAACACCGACATTTCTGATCCAGGTTTTTCTGAAGAAGAGACAAATGATGAGGAGTCAAAACAAACGGAAGACACATTAGCAAAAGACCAGGATCCTCAATCAGATCTCCCTGTTAAACATCTTCCAAAGTCAAATCCCGTGGAATCCAAAAAAGCTGAGGAAGAGGTAGTCGATCCTGAAGATGAACCAAAGAAAGGGTTGGGTGATGAAAAGAAAAAGAATGCAAAGCATGAGGAAGATTCTGAGGGGACACCCAAGAATGGATCTGAAAATAGCCACTTCTTTGCCTACTTGGTGACCACCGCTATTGTTGTTGCTGCACTATACATTGCGTATCATAATAAACGGAAAGTGAGTATTTTGACTTGTTCGTGTTGATGATTCCCTAGCTATCTAGCTATCCTTTATATCTGTCCCTCCTTCCAGCTATCCATTATCTATCTATCTATCTACCCTTTATATCTGTCCATCCACCCATTATCTGTCTACCTATCTATCTATCATCTATCTATCTATCTACCCTTTATATCTGTCCATCCACCCATTATCTGTCTACCTATCTATCTATCATCTATCTGTCTATCTATCTATCTATCTATCTATCTATCTATCTATCTATCTATCTACCTACCTACCTACCTACCTACCTACCTAACCTTTATATCTGTCCATCCATCCATTATCTGTCTACCTATCTATCCATCATCTGTCTGTCTGTCTATCTATCTATCTATCTATCTATCTATCTATCTATCCTTTATATCTGTCCATCCTTCCAGCCATCCATTATCTCTGTCTATCGATCTATTGTGTAGACTGATGATGAAAAGCTGTTTCCCCAAGGCATCTTTAGAAGAAATGGTGTAATATCCTATAGAACATAGCCATATTTCCTCAAACTAATTTTAATAAGGCTATTTTAACTAGGACCTGATTTATTTGTTTTTTTGCTGGGTTTTCAAAAATGAAAACAATCGGAAAACTTATCCCTCAAAATATATTGGGATATTGATTTTGCGTTATCAGGGCCATGCTGAGTAAACCATACTAATGCTTTATAAAACTTCTCAAAAGCTAGGTATTTTAAAATGCGTTTCTTGGCTTGGACTGGTATATGCTGCTAGCTGTTCATTTTTCTTACTTTGGAAAAGTTGCAATTGATCTTTTGGCTGTAGAGAAGCTGTTACAAGCAACGCTCCAATTATGAATATTCTGCATTCTCTCGATGACAAGATGGGTTATGACAATCATATCTTATTTTCTAAGTGAGACTTGCTTTTTCCCCCCTTTGGTCATACGTAACCTTACAGTTTTTACTATTACTGTCAGTGCCATCTTTCTTTTTAAGGCTCTACTGAAATAATGTGCTTTTTTTTCTAGTTTAACAGTTATGACAAGCTGATTTGCTCGCTTTAATGGGAAGTTAGAGAATATGATGGTTCAGATTCTTGTGAATGACAATCACTTATTGATTCTCTTTTCTTCCCTTGCAAAGATTATTGCTTTTGCTCTAGAAGGAAAAAAATCAAAGACAGCCCGAAGACCCAAATCCAGTGACTATCAACGATTGGATCAAAAGGTAAGCTCTCCCACCATGAGCATCAAAACAGCCAAATTCATGATTTTTTTTATTCTTTAAAGCCACAGTCATTTCTCACAGCTGTTTGCAATGATATGTACCTCATTATAGTTCAATTAGACCAGTGATGTCCAACCTTTGCAAGTTCAAGGTCCATGATTGGCTGGGGAATTCTGGGAGTTGACGTCTACAGTTCTTAAGGTCCTGCCAAGATTGGACACCTCCGAATTAGACATATGTCACAGCATGCATTCACTTTTCTGACCCATGTTGCTGATGATAAATTGGGCTTTTGCTTTCATTGTTTGGTATTTTATTCCTGTTTGGAATCTGCAAGACCAGATTTATAGTCAGAAGAAATAAGCATTAGGTATGTGCTTTGGAACTTAGCTTATTGGCTCATACAGAACAGTTGGATGTAAAGCTTCAAAAAGACATCTAAACTGTATTGCCTTGGAGTTTTTTTTT